AAAATGGTCCATTTCAAGGACAATAAGGAGAGGGGGTGGCCCTCTCCTTCTTGGGACCTCAAGGCACCATCCTCACCTCTGAAATCCCTCAAGATTTCAGTGGTGAGGAGGCCCAAACATCAAGGTCTCGGAGCTCACTCAAAAATGGGGCCTTTCAAGGCCTAAGAAGGGTCAAACACCTCCAAACCACAAAACACTCTAAACAAACTATTTAGAGGGCCTAAAAATAGAACTTTTTTATATTATACACTAAGCACAAAAACAGTTCTAAGATAGGTAAAAATACAATGCAAAAATGGGGAATAAATGGACTAGTTTCTTACCCTTGAAGTCCCCTTCAAAAATGGTGGACCAGCAGCCTCTTTTAGGTTGAAACCAGCTCCAAGACCTCAAAAACAACCTCTTAGAACCTCAGTAGCTAAGTGAAGGTGAAACACTATGTGTTTGTGTGCAATAGTAAGACACAAACACACTTAAACACACACAAGAGGGAGATATAGAGATAGGATATGTATCAATCCTAACCCTAGAACTCAAAACCCTAATATGGCTGTCTAAAATTTCTAAAGTGTCTAACCCTAAGCAAGGGAGAGAAGGGCTCCTCTTATAGAGCTTTTTGTCTTGTAAAGCTTACAAGACAAGCTTCTAAAGAGGGAGATCCCTCCATACACGTGTATGGAGGGGAGCCAAATGCAAGACAGCTGTAATAAAATATTTGCAAAAGCAGATGAACAGTAGTCGGCTGCTCAAAAATGCCATTTTGGCAAAAGGGAGTGCCGACCGGCAATAAATAGTGCCGACCGGCAATATACATTGCCGATGGCAGCAAAAACCAGCCGGTGGCCTCTGGCCATGGCCGGTGGTGTGTGGGGATGCCTCACAAGGCATTCCCTGCCCCTCCAAGGCAAAATGCAAGTGTTTGGTGCAAAACCAGACACTGAACAGTCAAGTTCGGAGATCCTGAGGCAAGGCGCGTAGCCGAGACCTCCGGGAACTCCAAATGAACACAAACATGGATAATCACCAAATGTTCCAACGGTGACGTCCAAGTCTTGAGGACGGTCAAAAATGGGGTATCTACAGTTGGCCGGAGTGTCCAGGGTGAAAGTCCCGAAATCCTAATTGCGTTTGTATAACGTAGATAAATTAAAGTATTGAAATGTTGATAATGTGAGTTGTAGTCTCATTCGAACTTGAAGTGTTTAAGTGTTAATTATGTGAGTTGTAGTCTCATGTTAATTGATTTTAACCGAAGCATTGTTGATATGAGTTGTAGCCTCATTTGAACTGTCTGGATGAATAGGGAACCATATTTATGAATTGGTTTGGATAATGAAATGGAAAGAGACGTATGTCTGTTTATATGAGTTAAACATTTATCAAATGCCAATGTTTTTCTATAAATATCATGAATGTTGGGTTTATATGTATTATTTTGAGGGCGTTACATGCACAATATTAAATGTGAACATATGTTTACTTTATATAACTGAAACAACTCACTTTTTTCTTCTTTTCCCTATGTGGGAATATGTAAAATAAAATTTAACAATTGTTCAAGCGGAAAGTTTATTTCTAATCAAACCATATCAGTCATTTAATCTTTAATTAGATCAATCTTTAGTTTATTTCGAATCAAACAAATCTTACTAATATTTTTGATAAAACCACTAAGATCGCGGTTAAACCAGTGAATTAGTCAAACCAGAAATGGTTCAGCCTAATCGACTAGGTCAAAAGACTAACCAACTTATACAAAAATTAATTAATTACAATTTTTAAATGTCATTTTAATTTTAAAATTTAAATTGTTTTGAATTGAAAGATACACAACACTATAATATTAAATATGAGCATAAGGTTCATTTTATATAGGGAAAATTATGCAAATAGTTCTTGTACTTTACACGATGTGTCAATTTGGTCCCTGTAGTTTCAATTTGCTCGATTTTGCCCCTTAATTTAACGGATTGTGTCATTTTAGTCCAATAAATAACGGTTGTTAAGTTAATTTAACGAAAATTCAAACAATGTGTCAATTTGGTCCTTGTGTTTTTCACAATGTGTCAATTTAGTCCCTGTCAAAATCGAGAAAATTGAAACTGCAGGGACCAAATTGACACATCGTGTAAAGTACAGAGATCAAATTGACACATTATTTGACCTTCTGTTAAATTAATTTAACAACCGTTATTTATTGGACTAAAATGACACAATCCGTTAAATTAATGAGCAAAATCGAGCAAATTGAAACTTTATGGACCAAATTGACACATTGTGTAAAGTACAGGGACTATTTGCATAATTTACCCTTTTATATAGGTGAAATAACTCATTTTTTTCCTTCTTTTCCCGATGTAGAATTGTAAAATAAAAGTTAACAATTGTTTAGGCGAAAAATTTATTTCTAATCAAGCAATTAATCGTTTAATCGTTTAATCAAGTCAGTCTTTAGTTTATTTCAAATCAAACAAATCTAACCAATATATTTTAATAAAATCGTTAAAATCGCGATTAAAGCAGCGAATCAGTCAAACCTTAAATGATTTAGCCTAATCGATTAGGTCAAAAGATTAACCAACTTACACAAAAATTAATTAATTAAAACTTTCAAATTTTATTTTAAAATTTAAACTATCTTGAATTGAAATATACACAACACTCTAATATTAAATGGGAGTATAAGATTCACTTTATATAAGCGAAACAACTCACTTTTTTTTTCTTTCTCTTTCTCCCGATATGGGATTATAAAATAAATCATATCATAGACTAATTAGAGTTTTTATTTTAAAATTTAAACTGTCTTAAACTGAACTATACGCAACATTACAATATTACTTTATATAAGTGAAATAACTCACTTTTTTCTTTTTCTCCTGATGTGAGATTATAAAATAAATCATAAACTAATAAGTATTTTATTTTTATACGGTTAAATGAAAGTTAGCCAATGTAAAAAAAAATTAATTGTTTAAAATTAAGAAAATCAATATGAGAAATCGCAGTTAAACCAGCTAATCAGTCAAATCAAAAACTGTTTAGCCTAATCGATTAAGTCAAATGACCAACCAACTTATACAAAAATTAATTAGCACTTTTAATTGTTATTTTAATTTTAAAATTTAAACCAACTTAAATTGAAATATGCACAACACTACAATATTAAGGCTCACTTTATATATGTAAAATAACTCATTTTTTTCCTTCTTTTCCTGATGTGTGGTTATAAAATAAAAGTTAACAATTATTTGGGCAGGAAATTTATTTCTAATTAAGCAATCTCAATTGTTCGATCTTTAGTTTATTTCGAATCAAGCATATTTAATCAATATATTTTGATAAAATTGCTAAAATCGCGATTAAACCAACGAATTAGTTAAATAAAAATGATTCAGCTTAATCGGTTAAGTCAAAACACCAACCAACTTACACAAAAATTAATTAATTAAAACTTTTAAATTTTATTTTAAAATTTAAATTATATTAAATTGAAATATGCACAATACTACAGTATTAAATGAGAGTATAAGATTCACTTTATATGAGTAAAACAATTCACTTTTTTCTTCTTCTCCTGATGTGGGATTATCAAATAAATCATGGCCAATAAAAAATTAAGAAAATTAGTATGAGATATTGAAACTCTCATAATGCTCCTCACTAAAAACGGTTAGGTCAAATGACCAACCAACTTATATAAAAATTAATTAATTAAAACTTTTAAATATTATTTTAATTTTAAAATTTAAACTGGCTTGAATTGAAGTATGAATAACACTATAATATTAAGGTTCACTTTATATAAGTAAAACAACTCATTTTTTCCTCTTTTTTTTTCCGACGTGAGATTGTAAAATAAAAGTTAACAATTATTTAGAAAGAAAGTTTATTTCTAATCAAGCAATCCAGTGGTTCAATCTTTAATTAGATCAATCCTAATTTATTTCAAATCAAACAAATCTAATCAATATATTTCGATAAAACTACTAAAATCGCTATTAAACCAACGAATCAGTCAAATCAAAAATGATTTAGCTTAATCGGCTAGGTTAAAAAACCAACCAACTTACACAAAAATTAATTAATTAAAACTTTCAAATTTTGTTTTAAAATTTAAATTATATTTAATTAAAAATGCACAACACTAAAATATTAAATAGGAGTGTAAGATTCACTTTACATGAGTAAAACAATTCATTTTTTCCTTGTTCTTCCGATGTGGGATTATTAAACAAATCATAGACTAATTAGCTAGCTAATGGAAATTTTCTTAATTGTTTAAAATTAAGAAAATCAAGAAAATTAGTATGAGATATTGAAGCTCTCACAATGCTCTTAAAAAGTCTCTTTTCCTTATATAATATATAATACTAGTGTATGCCCGTGCCTAAAGGCATGGTGTAAATAATAATAAGATTAAAATGCAGTTATAAAAATATATTTAACAGACTGTACTCTACAATTCCAAATAAATCAAATATAAAAAAATTAAATATCAAATAATGCACACAAATCAAAAGAAATCAAAAGAAAACTCTTCTATCATTAAAACATTGCAAAATCAATAAAACATTGTGATCCATTGACAAAGATTAAGAGAATAGAACACATGAAGCAAAACCCACATTATAACCTCCTTTCTATTTACATTACATTAACAAAACAATTCACACATTTCACAGCACCAACACTTCAAAGATTCCCAAAAAAAAAAAAAAAAAGCATGAAATTGAACAAAGAAAACCATACACAACGATTAAAAAAAAACGATTGAAAATAATAAATTTCAAATTTTATCTTATACATATCAAACAATTTATTTTTAGTTTAGTACTTAAATTTTGATCAAACAACTTTTTAACTCAATAAATTTAACATTCAATTTTCAATACTTAATTTTTAATTTTCAACTTTATTAAACATTACCTGAGTCCAAACCTTATCATAGGACATAGAACTAAAGTCAGAAAATATAAGTAGAGTAATCTACCTAAAACTCTATCTTTTATGTAGTAAGTTTGTATTTGTAAAATTGTTACAAATCTTTTATAGGTTACGGCAAATTACCGTGGGTAAAACTGATAGCTTGAACTGCCCTCAATTATGTATTCATTCGGCAGAAAGATGTTGCTATTGAGACTGGACCGACCGCAAGATTAAGCTTGAGTCTGCATAAAAACCCAATTCAAGTAAAATTAATACATTAAAGACTATCAAATCTTGTGAATTTAATAGTTTGTTGAACTTAATTAGCAAGAAAAACAGAGTAAGGGTGTTGAATACTCACAGAGGCCGACTATAGGTGATAAATTCGCAAGCTTTGAATAACTTATTCCCTGCAGTGTGAGATAAAATCGACATGAGATCTGGGAAGAAGGTATAGATTTTCTTCTTTGCTATATATTTTTCTGGGATAGTATATGACCCCGATATATGACATAGAACAAATAATTTTCCTAGCCGTTTAGTTGTGTTTCTATTTGTAGTTTTTTTGAAAAACGAAAACAATGAAAAATTTTAAAAATGGCCATCATTTTAATATTTATGATTATATATATATATGAATACTCGAAAATAAGTACTTGTTTAGTTGTGTTTTCATTTTTCATTTTTGGAAAAATACCCAGAAATGTGACATAAAACTGGATAATTTTCCTACATAGCCCTGTTTGGTTATGCCTTTGTTTTCTTTGTTTTTCATGCTTTAAAAAAAAAAAAAGGAACAATGAAATGTTAAAATAAAAAATAAAATAAAAAGTGGTTTTTTTCATTGATAAGCAAAAACAGACTGCTATGAAGAATGAATAATGCCCCTGCTCTCATGAGTCATATCCCTAGTTTAAGGTGAATACACAATGAAATCTATTGAAAATTCATATGCCAAAGATTAATGTTTAGGTAAATTCGAAAAATAATTCGTAAAAAGTGGGTTTTGTTCATTACAAAAATTTAATTAAATCAAAAACAATTCACCAACCAACCTTTTTATGTTTGTTCAAAAAAAAAAAACACCAACCTTTTCACCTGTTTTCTGAAAATGACATTATGTGTCCGAGCGTCTCTGATTCTGAAGGCATGACGAAAACATCTCCACTCGTATATGCTTGAGAGAGCTCTTCACCTCCTAACATCCCTGTGAATACGGCAGGCATGCCGAAGAACAGCTTTTCGAGATCCTCCCTGCCACGAAGAAATCAAGGTGTTGAATAAATTTTGCCCATGGTTCTTACTGGAAAATAAATTCAGGCGATCATCATGGCCCAATTTGTGTATCATTGGATGTATGCAAAAATATAAAAATAAATAATTCATTTCGTTAGACAGCGGTTTGTGGTTCGGAGAACAGCTTTTCGAGATCCTCCCTGCCACGAAGAAATAAAGGTGTTGAATAAATTTTGCCCATGGTTCTTACTGGAAAATAAATTCAGGCGATCATCATGGCCCAATTTGTGTATCATTGGATGTATGCAAAAATATAAAAATAAATAATTCATTTCGTTAGACAGCGGTTTGTGGTTTTTAATACAAAGAATCATTTTATACTATATTCTGTAGAGATTGTTCCAGCAATGTTGACAAAACTAAACAGCCAATAACTCCTTAGAGAAATACCTGTATGGTCCATCTCTAATAAAAGCAATTCGTGCCTCCGGTATCTAGTCCATGACACTGTTCAATCATACATCCCAAATGTCAATGGTTACAACTTATAATAATTATGAAAAAAAAGCATTATTCCGTCAATATTTTGCAAGTAATATTTCCTAAATTGCAAAAGCAGAAAATACTTATCATTTGAAATAAAAGAGCAGTACCTTTTGAGTAAATCCAAACTCTTCTCAACTCCTAGTCGTCCAACATGGACTATCAATGGTCTCTCGGGCTCCCCATTGCTGATTAAAAAAAGAACAATATATTAACATTTGGAGGAAACTCATATTACATGGCAATGAAATTTTAAGGATTGAAAGAAAGCCATACCTTAGTCTTATTCGCATTTCTTGAGAACGATATTTGGGATAGAAGCTTTCGGAATCAACACCCTTATTCCAGAGACGAATCTTGTTACCTGAAAAAACAAAGAATTAACATGGATATGAGCTGCTATTTTCAGAGAAACATTTAAAAAAAATAAAATAAAAATTCAAGCAGAAGCATAAATGTCAAATTTTGTTATGTGATCAATGTGAAATTTCAGAAAGTTATGTATTGGGCGATGTTCATTTACATGCTGTTACCCTAGCTGCTTCAAGCTCCTTTGCAAGGGCAACTGATGGAACCAGTGTAAGATCAACTGCCCTATGAAGAAACTCTGTTAAGAAAAGAACAAAACTTTCATTTATTAGTTCACAAACACGAAAAGTCAGAATCCATGTGAAATTGAGGCTAGAAATAAAAGTTCCTGTACTTATGACCCACCACATAGGTTTGACCAGCCAACTAAAGGTGTATCTTGGTATGTATCTGCAAGTCAAAACAGGAATCGGGTGTTGATTCCGAATCGAGAGAGAAGCACGAAAGATCTTTGCAATTTTCTTATTTGTATAATCAATTTTACTTCCCAAAATTACTATATGTGAGAGAAAGATTTCATATTTAAAAAATATAAAAGATTTCATATCATAAACTGAGAAAGATTAATAATATTCTCTGGTTTCTCTTTTATATTATTAGATTTCATATTATAATGAATACATTATAATATACTTCCCAAAATTACTATATGTGAGAGAAAGATTTCATTATGATACATTATAATGATATGAATGCTTTAATATTATTGTGCTGTCAAATAACCAAATATTATAATGATAAGTTGATGGGCATAGAGAATATACAACAGAGAGCCGAAGACAACAGAATTTAGAGCACAAACACAGAATATTTTTGAGTAATATAGAGCACAAAAATATTACTAAACTGTGTTCGATGGGCAGAATTTGCTTGACAAACACAGAATTCAAGCTACAAATTCAGAATTCAGAATTCAAGAGTGGGAGTTCGAAGGGAGCTGAAGACAGCAGAATTTAACTATCACCTAAATTCTGAATTCAAGCTACAAACATATATAATTTTAACAAATTTCGGTTAGTAGTATGTATAATTTTAGAAGAAGAAGACGTATAGCTATCAGTCATAAGAAGTATCTATCTGCTAGTGTAATCAATCAATCTAGAATTGTGGATAAGGTTATCCGGGCCGAAAACCATCTCCTATCCAGCTGAAGGGAGCAGAATTTAGGTGAATTTAGGGCCAAAATTCAGAATTCAAAATTCAAAATCCCAAAAACTCATTTAGGATTCAAAATTCAAAATATTCAAAATTCAGAATTCAAAAAGAGAAAAACACAACAACGAGTTCGAAGTCTTACCTTGCGAGTGGGAGTTCGAAGGGAGCCGAAGACAGCCAAAAACAGACAGAACCTTGAGCCAAAAACAAACCCAGTAAAATGAGATCATATACAGAATGTAGAGGAATAAAGGAACACAATGGAACACAATGCATTTGACTACAGGAATAAAGGAACACAATAATAGAGGAAAACTCAATAACAGAGGAGATAACACGAGTTATTGAAATCAACAAAGAGTAATCAAGATAATCCGGAAAAAAATTCTGAAATCAACAAAGAGTCAAACAGACAGAATAAGGAGATAGCTTCCAAGGACTCACATGAGTTATTGAAATTCTGAAATTAACATGAGATAACACGAGTTATTGAAATTCTGTTTCCATCATTTTAGTATGAGTTATTAACATGAGTTATTTAACAGGAAATCAACACCTTACACACCATGTATTGAGCAACAATTGTATTTATACCCTTAACGCTAATTATAACCGCCATTAATCTTTCAGTGAATATTTAAACATGAGACCATGTTATCTTGAAGAGAAAAATCTACAGATGATGGTTAGTTTGTTACAAAACAATTACTTACCAAGTCAATGTGTTTTGTTTTATTCATTGTTTAATTACTAATTTTATTATTGGTGCTTTTCTGTATTTGCATTGTGATTTGTAGGATGTATAATATGAAAAAATTGATAAGGAAGTTTCCACACAATAAAAGGTAAAACAGGGGGTAAAAAGGAAAATGTGAAGTTTGAATTCTAGAGTCATTGACTTCTGTGCAAAATAAAATCCTTGACTGCAGAAACTAAGAATGGGAAGATTATGAATTAAAAAAACTTAGGAAACTAAGATCACATAATGCAATAGCAATACAGCATTAACCAGTTTAGTTTGTTATCTATTGAAAGGAAAGCACAAAATAAACTCACTTGTTATCATGCCAGCCCACCAAAGTGGCTCATACAAATATGAATAGCCTCCAACACCTGTAAAAATAATTAGCAAATATAATAAACGTGTTCATCCAACTTCAAAGTGGAAAATTGAACAATTTAAGGCAGACTATACAATAAGTGACGCTTAAAAAAAAGAAAAAAAAAGATTATACAATAAGGCAGACTAAACATAATCTATGTTTTGGCCATTACCGTAGCCAAAAAAAATGACAGAACATAACAGTATATTGAGAATGGAAAAAGAGCTCTCTCTCACTCTCTCTCTCTCTTCTTTTGTGGTTGTTCAGGAGACTAGGAGAATTTGAGCAAAGCTCACACTTCAATGATTGTGTCAAATCATTGATGAAGTTATGATTTTCCACTTAAATAAACTCTGCCTTTTAGTAATGGAAACACAGATTTTAACACAAAATTGACTGAGTTACACCGTGTGTTCCATTGTGTTCAAATTGATTTCAGAATTTGATTCAGAATTTGATTCAGAATTTGATTTCAGAATTTCATGTCTACAGGAAGTCAAATTTGATTTTGTGATTTCAGAATTTGATGACTATAGGAAGTCAAATTTGATTTGCGTTCCAATTCCCCACACATTTAACTCCAGTTGCGGTTATGTGAGATATTAATTAGGATTGATCTGAGCCCTTAAAATGAAATGTATCTCTGATATTAATTAGAAAATATTGTTCTAATGCTATGTCCTACGAAAACTAAGATATTGAAACCATAATAGAAATATAAAATTAGAATAAATAACACAAAGAACAAAGAGATTATCATTATGTTTAGGGACCAAGTTTAAAACATTAACCAGCTTTTAGGAAGAGTTGTCTCAATTTACGGGTGATACTACATTTTCTCCTAGCAAAGGAACAATAAGGAGGATGTACTCCTAGTAGTACTTGATCTACCCACTTGGAGTAAATGATCTTTGACAAAATCCTAGAATCCAAAAATCGACTCAACAAAAGCAACTAACTTCAAGCAACTGACTCTGTCCTATTGTCAAGCTGCCAATTGGCAGCATAAATATTATATTTAGTACAACTCTCTACATGAGAACCCCAAAATCATAAAGAAATAACAAACATCACATGAAATAAAATGATCAAATTAGAGATTAAAATCCCTCATTTATATATGTAATGACAAATTAGATTTATAGTGCGTATGGTTGGAAATGGAGAGTTTAAAAAAAAAGGAAAAAAAATAGAAATTACTATAGAACTTATCTTAGCTTAGCATCATTGGTTGATCTCACTCCACTTGTCTGCACACATACACTATCACACAATGGTTTCTCTTTTTAATAAACAATGGCATTGTCAAATGAGAAAAAAAAAATAACAACGAAAATGAGTAAGCTTAACAATGTATTAATCGGAGACCTGATCACCATGGGTCCATTACCGCCATAGGTTCTCAATCATAGCAACTAATGCTTTCCTTTCAGCAAAACCAACTAAAATCTGAGTATGAGAGTGCAATCTAACAAACAATCAAAGTAAAATACCTTTTTTAGAGTCTAGTTAAAGATTGACAATGGTTGAGTACCCAGTAGGCATCACTCTAAGCCAATCCACTACTACCGATTGGTACCAAATTGTATTGATTCCAGACTTTAAAAAACAAAAAGAAGAAGAAGAACAGTTAAAAAATAGCATCGCTACTTTAGAAGTCTGGAAGTGATAGAGAAAAGAACATGATCATAACTTCATATTAGATACTAACCTTATTGAATACCCAAATTTCACCATTAGCAGTTGGTTTTGGCACACCATGTCCATTATAATGGAAGAGAACTCTATCAGAATTGGCATTCAAGCTCATAATGTGCCTACTTACATGTCGTGAAGAATAAGTTAAAACATTATTTGATATTAAATTTTTACACAAAAATAATATTAAAAAAAAAATCTCACTTTGGGTTGCCATCGTTTATATTGGCCAAGCAAAGAGTTCCCATTTGTTTTATTTACCATTATAGTTGCAAAAGAAAATGGATCTACAAACAAAAGGAAGAAGTGAAATGACATAAATCCTTTCATAACATTAAACCTATACCCATAAGAAATAAATCTAAGTGACTCCAGCCATCATCAAATGCACAACCAATATGACAACAGGTGCCACAACTTCAAAAGCAAATTAAACATAGAATAAAAAGCCACAGGTTATGTAGTTAATTGCAGGCCACAAAAAATTCAAAAGGTCAAAGTAGATACACCCATACAACAAACATTTCAAACTAATTTCATAAATTAAAACCCATTTCATAAATCAAAAGCTTTTCAAAATCATAGGAAATTAACACCCATTTCCCATTAAAGAATCAAAACCATGTCAGAAATCAAACTGAAAATAAAAATTCATTTCTAAAATCAAAACCCATTTAAAAAATGAAACCCATTCCATGAAGATCAAGTATTATTTCACACCCAAAACCTTTTACAAAATTAAATCCATTTAAGAATTTCAAAAATCAAAACTCATTTCTCATTTCAAAATCAAACCCATGTTAGAAGCCAAACTGTAAATACAAACCCACATAATGACCAACCCAACCAAACACCCACAAATGTCAAAAAGGTTTACAGTTTAAAATTGATGAATTGCAATTTCAACACCAATCCACAACTCACAAAAATAAATGATCTAAGATTCAACAAAATGAAAAAATATCTAGAATCCAGATTCAACAAAAAATAACCAGATTAAAAGATATTCAGATTCAACCTTGCAAACCCACAAAAATATCTAGATTCAAGCAATCAGAAACAACCAAACCCACAAAAATATCATGAATTGCAAAAGTTGGAAGTTCTAGATTCAAGCACACACACACACACAAAATAAATAAATAAAAATAAATAAAAATAAAAACCTAATTTTAATTCATATTTCCAATCACTTTCCTTTTCTCTCCACAAATCACTCTCCAAATCCAAGATTCAAGCACAAACCAAAAAAAAAATCCAATTTTAATTTTTCTAATCATTCCGCTGCCTTCAATTTCTAAAACTCACAAAACTTTTGGATAAATACACATATTTAAACAAAAAAAAATCCTAATTTTGAGTGGGGTTATGTAGCTCCACCAATGATAACTTGGATATACAGAAATATATGCATACATAATCCCCACAAAACATATATATCAATATGTGTATATCTATCAGGTTACTCATACATAAAATACGCAGGTAGACATTCAAATACCCTATCTTCTAAGGAGAGATTGATTTGATTCAGTGGGGGAAAAAATGAAGAACTTAACTAATTAAAATACCTGTTTGGGATCTCTTTTATTTTTTTGGACTATTATTTTTGGACTATAAAATAAAATTTATTGACCCAGCAGAATTTAAAGTCAAAGTCAACCTGAGTCAAGTTTATTTTGGATTCTTTATTTTTGTACTCTTTAATTTTTACTCAAGGCACGGTTGCTTGAAGTCAATTTTATTTTTGGATTCTATGATTCTATGATGCGAGAGATAAACTAACCCAGTAGAATTTTAAGGCACAAAGTCAGAATTCAAGGCAGCAGAGTTTTAAGGCACAAAGTCACAAATGTATGAGTTTTAACCCAGCAGAAATCACCTGAGATATGAAACTAAAAACTAAGAAACAATAAGGAAATTATTTACACTTGAATAGAGAGAGAGGGAGAGAGAGAGAGAGAGAGAGAGAGAGAGGAAGGGGAGCACAATGTAGGTCCCCAAAGGCTCAAATGTTGAAGAAATGAAGCCCCTTCCCACAATTCCAGAAAATCCTTCAATGATCAACCCAGAAATAAACAATGAAAAAATACAAATGAACAAATAATGGAAAAAATACATTCACATTCATGATCTGTCTATCTCTCGCATCTAAATCTTCCTCAATTTTCAATAACATCTCTCAACCTTAACTAATTCCTTATTTATCCATTTCCCAGATCCCCAATTTCTCTCTCTCTCTCTCTATATATATATATATATATATATATATGTGTGTGTGTGTGTGTGTGTGTTTGTACCTATCAATTTTGGTGGTGGTGGTGGTTATGGCGTGTGTGAAGAGGGTTAACAGATCGGCATCGGTGGCGTTCACACCGGACCCCCCCATACATGGCGGTGAGAACAATGGCCTTCGTCGGTGAATCTCGAGATCTTCGAGGTCGATTTCCAATCCGACGATCGTGAGCTCCCCGTTGTCGGCGATTTAATCGGGTCTCTTGGGGGAAGAATAAGCAACACTATCATTTGCACAAACAGAACCAGCAAGAAATCTATCAGACAAAAACCTCACAACCCAACCTAAATGACCCGTAAATAAAACCTCACAGCCCGACAGAGAGAGAAGGAGAGAGGTAGAAAAAAAGACTGAAACCACTGAAACAATTAAAAAACATACACAACTCGACAGAAACAGAAGGGGAGAGACAGATATCTTACCTTGCGAGCCGAGTTCGAGAGGCAGATATCAAGGACTGGAGAGCAGCGTCGGGAGCTAGCGAAGATGGAGGGTAGGAAAGAAGAATCGTTGGATGAGAGAGGGAAGGGTAAGGGAGAGACGTGTTTAGGCAGATGTGAGAGAGAGAGAGCAGAAATTGTTTGGGCGGTAAAAAAATTGATGACAACCGTTGGATATTGATTGGGATTATCTCTGCCATTAGATCAAAATGTATCTCACATACATTTTGATACATTTTCAAAAAGCCTCTTGGCTTATTATATAGATATATAGACTAGTAAAGTGCTGCTATTAGCACCCCATAAATTATTTTGGACCCCTCAATTTTTAATTTTTTTTAGTACAGTAATAACCTCAAATAAAATTACTAAAAAGGACATCATTAATTTTGAGACACCCCATCTCACAATTAAACCTACACACCCACTACATCATGAATTAGGGTTTATGAGAGCACCCACCTTCATCGTCACCCATCCATCTTCCCCAAATCCCACCTTCAAATTCTACCCTGTCAAAACCTTGAAAACCCTTTGGCGACAATATTCCGACAGTAACAGTAGCAAAAGTTTGACTACCTACACTTCTCTGGCAATGACAATGAGTGAAAGTTTTTCTGGCAACTACAACTCCATAAGACGAGAGGAATACAACAACAAAATATTAGAGGAGGTTCATAGCTTTGATGTTGTTCTTAGCTTAGAGGAGATTGGCCTTGTAAGGGTAAGTTTTTTTGAAAAAAATGGCAAAAATAATAAAATCTGTTCGTCATTTGTTTGAGATTGAACTCTTGAACATATGATCGAAATTCGGGAACACTGGCCCGAACATTATTTATTTGTTCAGGAAGGCATTCCTCCCAAACAAATAAGTAATGTTTGAGAATAGAGGTCCGAACATAAAAATTTCTTAACACATTGAATGGTCAAAATTATTAACTCTTAAAAAATGTTTAATTTTTTCAAGTTCGGGAATACAAACTTGAACATTACTTATTTGCTCGGGAATGCCTTCCTGAACAAATAAGTAATGTTCGGGAATACAGGTCCGAACATGGAAATTTCTTAATGCATCGAATAGTCAAAATTGTTAATGCTTGCAGAAGTTTTTATATTTTCAAGTTCAGGAATATAGGCCTGAATATGAAGATTTCTTAACACATTGAATGGTCAAAATTTTTAACACTTGCTAAAGAAATCGGAAATAGCCCAAATCCATTATCAGGTTCAAAAGTTATTTCTTCATCGTATGTGTTGCTGTATAGTTGTCACGACCCCAAACCGCCCCTAGTAGTTAGGTGTCGTGATGGCCAATAATCCAGGATTACCGAAGGCCAACTTTCAAAACTTAACACAATCAGAGTATAATAAGCGGGGCTCTCAAATGCGGAAGCAATAAATCAAAATACAAGTGGTCCATAAGAGCAGTGCATAGATCCCATGTAATGGCATACATCTTTACAAACTTGGATACAACAAAAGCAAAATATGTGTTACATCTTGATCAAAAGGCTTCTCGAGCCGACATAAACAAAATACAGTGAGTACAAGCCAAGAAGCATAATTTTCAAGAAGTGCCGACGTGAATACAAAATAACGCCGACATAATCATGGATCCAAAACAAGCTTTCAAAAACACATTCTAGGCGTCGCTGACGTCCTGCTCATCACCTACATATATATATAGAGGGGGTGAGCTTGGATACTCAGTGAATGGTACTAAAAATAAAGGTTTTGCATGAATATAGCCGAAGTCCTTCAAAACAAAACACATCAAACTCTATCAACAAGGGATGAACCGTATTCATCAATCAGATCTTACAAGTCTCAAGGGATGCTTACTTACATCGGCAAAACACAAATCAAGCTTATCAAAACAAGCAAATCCACGCGGTAAATCGCCAATGGCAAAACAAGGACTGTACGATCCGTAATCGTTGGGTCAAAGGTACTGTGAAAGTTTATAGTCCTCCAGCACAAGGGACTTGTGTTACTTAAGCCCGTAGCTCCTTTTAACACGATGATCTGGTTTTACTTAGGCCCGTAGCCCGATTTAACATTATGGCACTTGTGTTACTTAGGCCCGTAGCCCGATTTAACATTATGGCACTTGTTACTTAGTCCCGTAGCCCGATTTAACATTCTAGTGCTCCCAAGAAAGGACCGTATCCTTCTATACTTAGTGCTGCGAAAGTTTAGAGTCCTCCAGTACAAGGGACTTTTGTACTTGGTACTGCGAAAGTTTAGAGTCCTCCAGTACAAGGGACTTTTGTACTTGGTACTGCGAAAGTTTAGAGTCCTCCAGTACAAGGGACTTTTGTACTTGGTACTGCGAAAGTTTAGAGTCCTCCAGTACAAGGGACTTTTGTACTTGGTACTGCGAAAGTTTAGAGTCCTCCAGTACAAGGGACTTTTGTACTTGGTACTGCGAAAGTTTAGAGTCCTCCAGTACAAGGGACTTTTGTACTTGGTACTGCGAAAGTTTAGAGTCCTCCAGTACAAGGGACTTTTGTACTTGGTACTGCGAAAGTTTAGAGTCCTCCAGTACAAGGGACTTTTGTACTTGGTACTGCGAAAGTTTAGAGTCCTCCAGTACAAGGGACTTTTGTACTTGGTACTGCGAAAGTTTAGAGTCCTCCAGTACAAGGGACTTTTGTACTTGGTACTGCGAAAGTTTAGAGTCCTCCAGTACAAGGGACTTTTGTACTTGGTACTGCGAAAGTTTAGAGTCCTCCAGTACAAGGGACTTTTGTACTTGGTACTGCGAAAGTTTAGAGTCCTCCAGTACAAGGGACTTTTGTACTTGGTACTGCGAAAGTTTAGAGTCCTCCAGTACAAGGGACTTTTGTACTTGGTACTGCGAAAGTTTAGAGTCCTCCAGTACAAGGGACTTTTGTACTTGGTACTGCGAAAGTTTAGAGTCCTCCAGTACAAGGGACTTTTGTACTTGGTACTGCGAAAGTTTAGAGTCCTCCAGTACAAGGGACTTTTGTACTTGGTACTGCGAAAGTTTAGAGTCCTCCAGTACAAGGGACTTTTGTACTTGGTACTGCGAAAGTTTAGAGTCCTCCAGTACAAGGGACTTTTGTACTTGGTACTGCGAAAGTTTAGAGTCCTCCAGTACATAGATCACGGATTTAAAATGCTCCCGTCTCATGGAAACACACTGGGTACCAACCAGGTC